TTTCATATTGTTAAATACGATTTTTCTCACAGGATACCGATTTCTATTACAGTATCACAAAATAATTGCAAATATGAAACTTCTTTACCTCTTCTTGAACATTCTAATTTCATAGCCCTAAACTGGGTACCTGAAAGTATTTCATTGAATTTGTGTAAAAGATTTTACTACTTCCTAAAAGACTCCGTGTGATATTTGGAACAGTGTGCCGATACAGGGTTCCGATTTATTTACGAAACTAATCTGATCAGTTGCTGCATTCTTTGATACTAATTTTCAAGAAAATAAAACTTCTGTATTTCACTTAATTTGAGAGACACGTAGCTGAATATTAACATACGTTCATTATTTAATTACTCGCAATAAATAAAATTTTTGTAAGTAAATAAGGTATAAGTAAATTCATATGTAAAAATTTACCAATTGCCAGAAAGTAATCATTCGTGCGTATTAAGATTCTTACAATAGGCAGTAAAACTATTCATACTCTCATATAAATTATAAATATGTAAATGTTAATAAAAGCGATTGTAAAAAGACCATTTCCTATCTATTTTGCAGATAACAAATTGTTGTTTTAGTTGCGAATATCTCAGTAAATATAAACGGTGCGATGGGAACAATTTCAGATTCGGAAAGAGCAAATGGGGAGCAATTTTTTGAGATATAAATCGTTAAGGTACGTTAACATTCGGCCCCAACTATTTTCCGCTGGCGTCAGAGACCCCGTGTGGTGGGACCGTGGAGTCATACAACCCCCGGTGGAGGCGCCAGTAACCCCGTGTGGTGAGAACGTGGGGTCACAGAACCCCTGCAGGAGGCGCCAGAGACTCCGTGTAGTGAGTGTATGGGGTCATAGAACCCCCGGTGGAGGCGCCAGAGACCCCGTGTAGCGAGTGTATGGGGTCATAGAACCCCCGGTGGAGACGCCAGTGCCCCCGTGTGGTGAGAACGTGGGGTCACAGAACCCCCGGTGGAGGCGCCAGAGACCCTGTGTGGTGAGTGCATGGGGTCATAGAACCTCCGGTGGAGGCGCCAGCGACCCCGTGTGTGAAATGTATCCTCGCGAGCAAAGTTATTGAGATATCTGAGTATTGATTATTATAAAACAGATCAGGTGCAATTTTTTGGTACCATAATATTTGTATAAAAAGGTCGTTTACTACCTCGTTTATAAACAACAAAATGTTACTTTTTCTTTTGCGAATATCTCATTAACTATTTTTTGAGATATAAATCGTTAAGATACGTTAACATTCAGCGCCAACTATTTTCCGGTGCTTTACATGTATATCGCTCCAAAAGGCTCGAGTCACGTTAATTCTCGTTGAACGTAATCTGGATATATGTCTATGAGTGAACTGTGGCAAGAGTCACTATAAGCACTGAAAGAGGATGGGACCACCATCTAACGACATGAATATATAATACAAACTAGCTAGTAGTGTAAATACATATTTCTATTGTGATGATTATACTGGTATAGCCGACATTCATCTTCTTCAAGTAACGAAATATTAACTACTTGTGCATAATATTGTCAGTACATTAAAGAGAGACAATGTAAAATGTTAAGAAAAAACAAAGTCGCTGTCGTAAATACGTATTTTCATTTTATTATACAAGATATGTACGTCTAAAATATTCAGGCATTTATACATTCGTTAATAGTGTGAATAATTCATTAATAAAGAGCGTTTCAATATCTTTTGTAAATATATCCAAAAATACATATGCAACGATATGCAATGCAATTTATAACTTATATTAATTTAATAATATACGATAGTTTTAGCAAGATTCATCCAATCATAAAATACATTATCCTTCGTTAAAAATTGACATCGTGATTCGCGTCTATCCAAATCGTATGATCTTGAAAATGAAGTCGTACGATAAAAGTGTGTATGTAATTGAAAACGTTATAAATATCCCTAAAATATTGTAAACCGATTAAGATGTACTTATGCATAAGTAATTATTTACACGAACACAGCTGTTACAAATTATATGGGTAATCTAGCCATTTTTACCATAATTATATTTCGCGACTCAAAGGATCATGTTAACTCTTACACGGTATGTTGGTTCTAATTGTAAGAGTCAACAATGGCTCCTGAAAGCCCTTTTTAGGTGGGTATTTTAGATGGTACCATTTGATTCGTAAATGTCTTCGAAAAAGTTAACATGGTCCTCGAAATAACTGTATAATATTTTGCAAAAGACCGAACGTTCTTTTTCGCGAGCACTGCAATATCTGTAAATTATGTGCACATAATTGAACAGAATTATGATTTCTGTAAACTTTAAACATTCATCAAAGCTTACTGAGCTCTCCAACACGACGTCCATATATTTATTAATTACATACAAACAATTCTGTTTTACCTGTCCGGAAAAAAATACTTGTTCGTATAGTTAAAAACCTGCATATTTGGATATCGTATTAATGAAAACCGATATGACACATGTGTAAAAAGGAACCTTTCGGATTGACACGCATGTTCCTTGGGTAAAGTAATTCAATTGCTTCGATAAGGGACACACGCGAAAGGTTCTATTATTATGAACAATAATGTATACGCACAAGAGTCACGAAACCAATGCATACAATGATTGAGTCTTGCCGTTCGAATCGTTTATCGATTTACCTGTACGCGGCAAGAATCAAATGTAATCATTACAGGTGTGTGTATGTTACGTATGTCCTAAAAATTTCTTTGGGCGTAATAAAGACGCGACAGATGATTTCGTAGAATCCTTGGTATCAAAATATCCATTATAGGGGTTTAACTAAAAAAAAAAAAGAGAAAAGAAAAGAAAAAACGTTGAACAGGACGTATGTACAGTTTTCTCAGGGATAAACCTGACCTCTGGGGTTCACCCTAGAACACACGCGTTGGACAGGTCGTCGGGGATCGAAAAAGTGTTCATCAAAGTGTCTAATGCTGGAAGACTAGATTAAAAATGTCTACGAACTTTAACAGGTAAATCCTATAAAAATCCTCGTCGTTTAAATAGAACAAACTCGTGATTAGCCTGCACTCGAATGAATAATACTTTTCTGCATGATGTATGGTACCATTTAATGCCCTCATACACGGAACGCGTCGGCACGAACGATCGAGTCTTCGCTTGAAATACTCAATCACATTCCGGCAGTTTATGTACCATTCTCGATCAACATTCACACCTGGTCGCGTACTACCTTATTATTCACGTTTAAAATATATCGTTATTCTCATTCTTTCCAATGATCAGGTTTCAATGATCAGGTTTCATACAGTTAACGTCACTGTGACAATTTTCAGTTTGCAGCTGCTCGAGTAGGTTGGACACCAATGGTCCACGGATTAATGTACGCCCTTCAACTCGCATGTGTTAATGTTCCAGGAGTTGTATAAACCAGTTGTTTATTTTTGTATTCATTCGTATCGAATATCGAAATAGGTTAAGTTTTAGTTTTAGGAATAACGTAAGTCTTTGGAATAAGAGCTCCTTTTTTGTCGAATCCAAATGATTCCAGTTTAGCGTTCACTTATCCATGGAACACTGTATCGAGCACCAATAGTGTCGAGTCATTTGGAAAGTTTGTAGCGTTTCAGGCGCGACGTGTTTATCACCTTTTTATACTAGAGATATAAAAAATCATAAGGCGACACAGACAAACAATTTTAAGGGGATAAAAAAAGACACATATGCCGTCTTCGAGATAGATCTCGAATGTGCAAGTGGTTCGTAAATTTTTGCTTCTCTTTTCGTGAGACGAATACTATTAAACGTGTAAAGATTTTCAGACTGTTTTGACTAGTACATTTTGACAGCACTTACTTTATTTCACCAGACATCGCCCTGTCAAATAATCGTTTGCTCAGATCGCTGAAACATTCTGTGTAACGGGAAAAAAAAACTTTCAAAAAGTTGGTTCTTTTTTTAACGAAACCGATACACAACTTTACGTTACTAATGTAAAGAGATTACCGAAAAAACGATAGGAAGATGTGAAAAAAAATATTTGAGAAATAAGTACACGGTGCGATTTGATTAGTGTAGAAAACGTGGCTATTTTTAAGAAACCGCTACAAACTTTTCCAACAACCCAGTGGATATCAGTCCCCTATTCGCAGAATCCAAAATATTTGTCTTAGATATACACAAGTCGAGATATAAGGATTTGTCATTCTATGTATAAAAATTTCCTGTTCAGCATCTCAAACGTGGCAGTTCTATTTTCCACTTCCCGATCTGACCTTGAGTCTCTTCGAGCGATCACGAAGTTCGATTCCTGAGCCTACTGTGGCTCGACAAGTATTGGGGGGAAACGCGCGTCGCACAGCCGCGGCACCCTGTAAAACGGATCTCGACCAGAAACGTGAGAACGGTCATCTCTCGGCTTATCAGATACCGTGATCGAACTCGTGATATCCCTCGGCGCCGGTGAACACCACGTCCACCCAGACCCGCATAGCCTCTGGACTCGGCGCCATTAAGTGATACAGCCTGGACGATGTTTTAATGATAAACGTTAACGACGGATGCGGCGACCGTACGGTGTTCATGTGGTCCACGTAAACCTCCTCGATCGACTGTACATACAGAAAAGTAGTTGTATGAAACAATTTCTACTTACTTGAATACAAGATTTTTATGTCTAAACCGTTAGAATGTTGTATTTATTGAGAAAAAGGAAAGAAACCCCCCTAGGGCTCGAAATTGATATGAAAAATTTATTAAAATTTAACAAGATAAATGAAACAAATGATTTTTCTTTTCAGAAAATCGTTCTTATGATTGTATCACTCATTAAAAAACGCACAATTTAAGAAAACGTTTTTTGCTATACTCTGTAGTTCCAAAGATATTCTGAAAAGTATGTTTTCAGACTCTAGCTTTGAGGGCTGTTTTCACCCCTTTAGTATAGGCCGCTATAATAAAATACGTGTCACATATTTTTCCGTAAACTATAACACACATAAATGGTATTAAAATCGTCGTGTTTGGATTTGATTTGTTTCCTTGTTAGTTTTGAAATGAAATTCTCAGTTTAGTATGCAATTTCGTTATATATGTGTAACAACCTTTGATGAACAAATAAATCTGTGAGTCGCTATAGTTATGACTGGCTATGAGAATGGTATAATGTTACCCCATACCTGAAAGTAGATCACACCCCGCGCCTTCCTCGAGGAGCTATCGCTGTAATACGACAATGTCTTTCTTTTCCGGTCAAAGACGAACCATCGTTTGTTCCAGTGATGGAACTTCTTGCTCATCTTCGATAGGTAACCGCTGCAACTGGTCGTGTCGACCGTGACATCGTGTATCAGGGGCAACTGGTGCCCGGCAGTCTCGATGTGATGCCTAAGGTCCAGGGACTCCGACTTGATGGGAAGGTATCTCGTGAGCGGCCTCTGGGCAAACGGACATAAATCATCGGATTTACAAGCCGTGAAACGAAGTGTCCGGTTAAATGGTAACCCTGTCGGCCCTGTCATTCGTCACACGTCGGGGTCCGAACCGACACGCGTGGAACGTGTCACGTGAAAATAGAACTTATGGAGTCGGGGGAAACATTCTAACGCGTGCTGGTCTGTGTTTTTGGAGCCACTATTTGACCTTCGAATACACTTTGAAAAATAATACGAGTTGCAAAAACTAAACGTAGAAAACTGAATGTTCAAAACAATGGATGTTCTAAAAATGAATATTCAAAACAATGGATGTTCCATAATTGAATGTCCAAAACAATGGATGTTCCAGCAGTGGATGTTCTGAAAATGAATGTCCAAAACAATGGATGTACCAAAACTGAATGTCCAAAACAATGGATGTACCAAAACTGAATGTCCAAAACAATGGATGTTCCAAAACTGAATGTCCAAAACAATGGATGTTCCAAAACTGGATGTCCAAAACAATGGATGTTCCAGAAGTGGATGTTCTAAAACTGAATGTTCCAAAACTGGTTTTTCAAATCTGAATGTTCTAAAATTGGATGTCCCAAAACTCAACGTCCAAAGCTGAACATCTATAGCTGGATGTTCTAAAAGTATGGGTTACTGTGGACCACGCCTTATATTTCACGAAAAATTTCTTGGTGAAGGAGACATAGCGTTGTCAGAAAATCGACTGGGAGTACTTGTGGGAATAGACAGCCAATTGGTTCGTGTAAATGAAATAAGCTGAAAGCGACTGTTGTGGGCGTTGTAGATTCCTTGGAATTCAGAGAGACCGACGTGGAACGTTTATTTTTGTGATTAGAAGCTTGTAACGAGAGCCTTGTACCGAGAGGTTTGTAAAGTTGACAGCTGTCCATTTCGTGAAGTATGTGACCGTGGAGATTCTGTGATGAGGATTTGACAATCTTGTAATTGTAATTTGGGCGCTGTTCGAACACGGGAAGAGATTATTGTCAGAATATTTAGAATTTTTGTAAAAAGAAAAATATGACTAACAGGAAGGAATCATGTACCTACGTAAAAATTTTTTTTTCAAGTTTTAAGGGTGAAAAAAGAGGTTCAAAGTGAAGTGGATTAGTTAGATAAGGGAGTTCGCTAATAATTTCCTATACTTTCGTAACGATACAATAACCCTTCTGTACACTGCGTCAGTTATGTAAACTATTTTTCTAATGGCATCCTTCCATTATCATCGCCACGGCTATCGTCGATTTGAAAATCCATTGACATACTTTAATGGCCCTGACGCGTCATTCGTGATCAACGATGTGGATTTATTTTGAAGCTGGTACTCGCCATGGTCTACAATACACGACGAATTTTCTAGGACATGAATAGCTAGTTATAAATACCCTAATCAAAACTATTAAACATCGAGAGACTGAAATAATCCAGGATGTCAAAGTACCAGGTTGATCGACAGTCAAACTATTCTTTTTGGAATGTCCGACTGATTGTGAACAGTTAAACGGGGTGATTTACTATTCACTCTACGTTTTATTTCGGATGAACACGGATACTTTGAAAAAATTGAAGTAGACAAAGTTTCAATGTACCTGCAGTTTTGCCTTTTCGCGATGTTTCACTGGTTGCAGTGGTCCAAGGGTGTCCATCTCGCTGGATGTTTGTGAGAGAGGACGACTTCCGTTTCCATCGATTATCCCCCCGCTGTTATTGCTAAGTCTCTCGCCTTCCATTGATGCTCTTCGGTCGTCTCTCATCTGCAACAATACATAAATATCATGTAGCCAAGTATGTATATATCAATAAACAGATGAAAAAGAAAAGAAACACGACATAATATTAAAGAAGGACTATAAGTCCTTTTTGAGATTGATGAGTTTACAATAATAATATTTATTAACCTTCTGATTGAGACGAAATCTGAGGCTTGTTAACAGAAGCCTTACATTGACGTAATAAATGTTAGGTTTTTACAATGTGACAGTGTTCAACAGTTTGTCAGATAATTTTCTTCATTAACAAATTATATCGAATAAAAGTTACCCGAAATTTGTAATTTAACTTTTAAAAATTTGCAAACATACAATGATAAAGATTTAAATGGAGTCTGAAAAGTTTGTAGAACTTCAAGGAACATTTGTAAATTGTAACATCTGGCGAATATTTAACTATGAATGTTAATAGATAACACATGATGCTAGGAACAATACAGTTTTTATATATTTTATCATTATGAAACATATTTCCAAGTAGATTAGATGATTTACCACTTGTTCACAATACCACATGGCGATGGTTTCACGACACTTTTGGAGTGTTAAATTATTGTTCAATCAGAAATTAAACACTGAAATTTTCTTTGAAAACGCGCACGTATTGCTTCTAACGAGGCCCGAACAATACGGGCAGAGGTGCATATTCGTTTCTAAGCCACGGTTATATTTATAAATCCCGATGCGAAGAGCAGCGTGCTGCACCTGTTTACGCGTTTCGTTTTAAAAAATCTGTTCGGTCACAGAAATAATCGTGATCCTCCAACATTGCACAAAAATGGAAATGTTCGATGCATTTTTTCTCTTATTATTCAGAAATTTTTTATTTGAATCGCGAGCTAACACCGTGATAACCCTAAACTAGACATATTTACAGGAATTTTTTTTATTAAAATCGCGATTTAATCTTGTTTTTATATTAGATATTTCTACTTTACAATTTAGTTCCTTCTTAGAATGAATCACGTAATTTACTACTTTTATTGCGATTGTATGTTTAAATCAAATGTGTATGGAAACTAACAGAAGGTAGATATTATTAAGAGGAATAACATGTTATTTTTTAACAATGAAAATGTTAAGGCTGTAATGAACAAAAAATTAATAACGTTCGTATGTAGTGATAGTAGAAAGATGGTCTTCATAGGTGTTTCGTAGAACTTGAAAGTTGATATAAGAAGGAGTTAGTGGTTAAGGTGGCTTTCGGACGCCATATTGGATTTCTGAATTACGTTCTACCATAATCATAGAACTGAACATACGAGTTCATTAGATTACAAAAAGGTTCAGAAATTTTGATAGAATTATATATTATCGTCTATTGAATTAAAAAAAATATATCAATTATTCAATACATAATAATTATTGTAACGAAATACTAGAAATGAATCGTCAACGATCTAAACATCGTTACTATCCTGTTGCGAGTAACAGGGTAATTCTGTACCACATTTCCAACAAATACAAAATCACAATAATAGTATCCGATTGTTATGTACTAAAACTATCGTAGAAACTATTGTGTGTAATAGTATTTAACCCTGCTCTCTTTTTCAGACGTATCACGTTTTTGTAAATATTTGTTTTTAATGTCCAACGCACTTAAATTTCACGTCTTTTTTCTGTATTTCCCATTTCTTAAGACCAAATCATTTTAAAGTTTGAAATATGTTATTCAAAGAAATACAAATATTACGAAGAAGTGAGGAGAACAGCAGGGTTCACATAGAGTGATCTTGCAGACAAATATTCTTTAACAAATAATTCGCTGAAAGTATTGAAAGTATTAAGAAATAAAATAATTTGAAAAAAAAAAATACCACGAAGAAATACGCCATAAATATTACTTGTCTCGTGGATATCTTTTATTCCGTAGCGCGAAACGGTGGGAATTAATGGATTGCTGGAAATAACTCAAACTGCCGCTGGTTGTCGGCCTGCAGCAGCACGCTGTTAAGAACACAGTTAACGAGAAAAATTTGCGCAATGAAGCGGGAGACGAGAGCTAGGCGGGTGAAAATTACGGATCCCCGGCTTTTGTCCTTCTTCTTTCGTCCGTTCGAAGGGTTCGTAACGTTTTGTTTTGTCCCTACCAGAGACCGTGTACAATTAAAGGCGTGTCGCGTCCCGGAGAAAAATACTGCGAATCGGGGCGAAATATTAATTGATTTCTGAGTAACCCTGTAGTTCGTGCAGAAGTTTTTTCGTTCTGTCACGTATGTAACGGAGACTTTCCTACTTGAGTTTGTATTTGCAACAGAAATTATTTTCAAAAACTTTTGAGAAAAACTAACGTTTTAATTAATGTAGTTACAGACGTCAGTATCTGGTGCTAATTACTTTTGGAAATTCTTTGGACTTTTTTTCTTTTAATACTTTGGGAATTTTTCTTTTCGAAATTCAGTCTGAATCTTTGCAATTGAAGATGCAATAACGATTGGTATTATATAATTTTATAATATTCATCGTATTATAGACATTACATTTATTATATTATAATTATCTTATTGTTTCATTCATACAAAATGAATATAAAACTCTGCACGGTTTGAGAGCTTGCTTAATGGTGCTGTTTCAACTTCAAACAATGGAGTTACAGTGATTCACATATTTGTTCACGTACTTCCGAAATAACAATTAAATGTAAAGATTTATATGCAAATTCTGTTTCCGTATTTTCATTACTCTTGCTTTTATCATGGTTTAGTGGTAAGTTTTTCATAGTTTCGAAATGAAATTCGCAATTCAGGACATAATTTTGTCAAACAAAGGCTTTCCGTGAACAAATCGGTGGGTCACTGTAGTTTAATTTTATAAGTAATATTTTTTCAATGTTTATCTTGGGTAAAAAGAGAAAATTTATTACGATCGGTCGAATAGACTTTAAAATCGATTTATCTTGTTTATGTCCCTATTCCTTGCAGCAACAAGCCAAATATAAAAGAAAATGTAACAGCTAAAATTAAATTATATACAAATTATATAAGCACTGGTGTACTAGAAAAAAAAATGCTAATAAAGTTTCTCACATTTTAAGTGTGTTTACACTTTCTGGAAAATTTGATTTTCCGAAAGGAAGTCGCAACTTCCATTCCACGCGTCATATATCTTGTCTTCCGCGACATTTAGTTGCTCGTTCAATGAAAATACGATTCACGAAATGAGGAAAATTTTGATTTGTACATGTCTCAATATCAACATTTCTTTCTTCAAATTTAACATCTGTTTCGCCTGCTTCGCAACATTCAACGCCATTTTTATTATCAGATAAAAATGGCGGGAAGACTAGAAAACTGAGGATTATCCTCTAGTTGACACAACCAATAAATCTCCATCGCTCGAACATGCTAAACACAATGAAATTCCATTGTTATTTCTCATCCAAGAATACAAATTCCACCGTCATATCTCTATTAAAGACGCGTTCACGCGACTATTACTATTTTTAGCGATCTCAATAATACTCCAGCTGTCTGTTTCTCGAATAAATTTCCGAAACGACTTCATGCTCCCTATCCGCGCGTCACATTGAAACTATTCAAGCGAAATACTCCTCACGTGACTCGTAAATTTCACGAAACGCGCAGCAAGAACAACCTGCAATTGTTGCGTGCAAGTGTATCGCACCCGACTACGCGCGTCGTAGCAAGGGTAAATAGAAAACGTGGCCAAAAGAGACATAAAAAAAATACAGAAATAAAAAGTCACTAAACGTCACTTACTCGACGTCTACGAACGTGCTTCTTCTTGGTTCGATTCTTCATGTAACTTATCCACATGAGAGACATTGTTCGATCAAACTCTCTCCAACACACAAACGCTACCAGAGGAAGCCAAACGAGTCAGAGACGATAGAACAAGAACTGTGCAACGTGCTCGAAGTGGAATCCTTCTTCCTCTAACCGGTCTGTTATAATAGAATGTCTGATAATTCTTCTATTGTTTAATGCTTCGTCTATTGTCTATTGTTCGGGCCTCGACGCGATCCAAGCGTTCTTTCGGAGCCTCAACCGCGCGAAAACAGGACGAACGACAGCGAGGAACTGGTGTCGACCGACGAACGTTCGCCGGTTTTATTATTCGCAAGTTAAAATGCGACGTTTCTCCCTCTTCCTTCGCGCACTCCCCCAGGAACGTTCTAAAACGACGAAACCCACACACACGCGTGTTTCTGCGCACAGAAAATCATACCCGTGGGCTCATTCATGAGTAAACTTATCCGAACTTGCGCGTCTCTGACCACCACGCGAGCGTCTCTCCAACAAAAAGGGAGAGAGAAAGAGAGACTGGGCCACCCGTTCACGATCATTTCTGTCTAGCGATCGACGATATACGTGCGTCACCTTTCCTCGCCCCCGAATGTGCAACGAAAACGACGGAATTGTAAACTTACGTAAACTGGGCTGGAATTCTAATCTAACGTTTATTTCCTTTTTCTTCTTATCTTCTAGGACCGATGATCTATATTGCCTTTGCGTGTAATTTTGTTTCCTTGGCAGATAATGTTGGTAGGACGATGCAGAAGCAACGTCATTTTCTTTTTCATCGTTGATTTGGTTTAGTAAGATTTGTGAGTATATGTAAGATTGCTCGAAAAATAGAGTCGGAAATGAAAAAAATGTCAGAGAGTATATTGATCGACAAGATGTTGCCGTTACAATGGTTAACTTTTATTTGTTCCTTAAAAACCTTCCGTATCGCCCGCTTAGGACAGTCCTCAGGCCCCGGGACTATTTATGAGAGGGTGAATATTGGGGGGGGGGGGTTAGATGTTATCACCCAGGTGGCCTTCGGCTCGAACCTTGGCCTTCCCTCGATGGGACCGTTTTCCGACGAATACTATGTCTTATAGTTTATTCGTGATATTTTCCTTCTGGTGGGAAAATGGATTTAGCCTTTCTTATGTTGCAATTATTTTTGACTGCACGGTGTTAATGAGATGAATTTCTTATATCTCAACGGATAATGGGCACATTCGTTTATTT